CGTTTTATAAATTCACCCTTTTAGTGCCCCTAAATCCCTTAATATGCATTTTCCACCCTCTACTTATAGGAACTTTTTTTACTATTTTTAGGAGCACTATCACCCCCCGATTTTTTTATATATTTTGTATATTGAGTTGTGTTCTCATTCTTCTTCAGGACCTCAAGCGAATATTCATAATTTCGGCCATCTTCAACAAAATCAATGACTTTTGTACAGTCTTTGACACTAAGAACCATAATATTCAATCCTACACTCACCAAAGCCACCTCGTCAATATGAAGAATAACGTCAAAAAGGAATGATAACTGGAATGGAACTTTAGTTTCGGAGATATAAATTTAATCGGACCTTTTTAAAAAAACTAATTTTATTTTTCAGAAACTATTAGAGACAGAGTTTACCAAAAATGCTTTTTATAACTACTAGCGGGTAAATGAATTTCTAGATATATTACAATTTTTTTTGGAACTTTGGTTTCGGAGATATAAATTTAATCGGACCTTTTTAAAAAAATTAATTTTATTTTTCAGAAACTATTAGAGACAGAGTTTACCAAAAATGCTTTTTATAACTACTAGTGGGTAAATGAATTTCTAGATATATTACGAATTTTTTTGGAACTTTAGTTTCGGAGATATAAATTTAATCGAACCTTTTTAAAAAAAATAATTTTATTTTTCAGAAACTATTAGGGACAGAGTTTACCAAAAATGCTTTTTATAACTACTAGTGGGTAAATGAATTTCTAGATATATTACGAATTTTCTTGGAACTTTAGTTTCGGAGATATACATTTAATCGGATATTTTCAAAAAAAATAATTTTATTTTTCAGAAACAATTAGAGACAGATTTTACCAAAAATGCTTTTTATAACTACTAGTGGGTAAATGAATTTCTTGATATATTACGAATTATTTTGGAACTTTAGTTTCGGAGATATACATTTAATCGAACCTTTTTAAAAAAAATAATTTTATTTTTCAGAAACTATTAGGGACAGAGTTTACCAAAAATGCTTTTTATAACTACTAGTGGGTAAATGAATTTCTTGATATATTACGAATTTTTTGGAACTTTAGTTTCGGAGATATAAATTTAATCGAACCTTTTAAAAAAATTAATTTTATTTTTCAGAAACTATTTGGGACAGAGTTTACCAAAAATGCTTTTTATAACTACTAGTGGGTAAATGAATTTCTAGATATATTACGAATTTTCTTGGAACTTTAGTTTCGGAGATATACATTTAATCGGATATTTTCAAAAAAAATAATTTTATTTTTCAGAAACAATTAGAGACAGAGTTTACCAAAAATGCTTTTTATAACTACTAGTGGGTAAATGAATTTCTTGATATATTACGAATTTTTTTGGAACTTTAGTTTCGAAGATATAAATCTAATCGAACCTTTTTAAAAAAATTAATTTTATTTTTCAGACACTATTAGGGACAGAGTTTACCAAAAATGCTTTTTATAACTACTAGTGGGTAAATGAATTTCTAGATATATTACGAATTTTCTTGGAACTTTAGTTTCGGAGATATACATTTAATCGGATATTTTCAAAAAAAATAATTTTATTTTTCAGAAACAATTAGAGACAGAGTTTACCAAAAATGCTTTTTATAACTACTAGTGGGTAAATGAATTTCTAGATATATTACAAATTTTCTTGGAACTTTAGTTTCGGAGATATACATTTAATCGGATATTTTCAAAAAAAATAATTTTATTTTTCAGAAACAATTAGAGACAGATTTTACCAAAAATGCTTTTTATAACTACTAGTGGGTAAATGAATTTATAGATATATTACGAATTTTTTTGGAACTTTAGTTTCGGAGATATAAATTTAATCGGACCTTTTTAAAAAAATTAATTTTATTTTTCAGAAACTATTACAGACAGAGTTTACCAAAAATGCTTTTTATAACTACTAGTGGGTAAATGAATTTATAGATATATTACGAATTTTTTTGGAACTTTAGTTTCGGAGATATAAATTTAATCGGACCTTTTCAAAAAAAATAATTTTATTTTTCAGAAACAATTAGATACAGAGTTTACCAAAAATGATTTTTATAACTACTAGTGGGTAAATGAATTTCTAGATATATTACAAATTTTCTTGAAACTTTAGTTTCGGAGATATACATTTAATCGGATATTTTCAAAAAAATTAATTTTATTTTTCAGACACTATTAGGGACAGAGTTTACCAAAAATGCTTTTTATAACTACTAGTGGGTAAATGAATTTCTAGATATATTACGAATTTTCTTGGAACTTTAGTTTCGGAGATATAAATTAATCGGACCTTTTTAAAAAAATTAATTTTATTTTTCAGAAACTATTAGAGACAGAGTTTACCAAAAATGCTTTTTATAACTACTAGTGGGTAAATGAATTTCTAGATATATTACGAATTTTTTTGGAACTTTAGTTTCGGAGATATACATTTAATCGGATATTTTCAAAAAAAATAATTTTATTTTTCAGAAACAATTAGAGACAGATTTTACCAAAAATGCTTTTTATAACTACTAGTGGGTAAATGAATTTCTTGATATATTACGAATTATTTTGGAACTTTAGTTTCGGAGATATACATTTAATCGAACCTTTTTAAAAAAAATAATTTTATTTTTCAGAAACTATTAGGGACAGAGTTTACCAAAAATGCTTTTTATAACTACTAGTGGGTAAATAAATTTCTTGATATATTACGAATTTTTTTGGAACTTTAGTTTCGGAGATATAAATTTAATCGAACCTTTTTAAAAAAATTAATTTTATTTTTCAGACACTATTAGGGACAGAGTTTACCAAAAATGCTTTTTATAACTACTAGTGGGTAAATGAATTTCTAGATATATTACGAATTTTCTTGGAACTTTAGTTTCGGAGATATACATTTAATCGGATATTTTCAAAAAATAATTTTATTTTTCAGAAACAATTAGAGACAGAGTTTACCAAAAATGCTTTTTATAACTACTAGTGGGTAAATGAATTTCTTGATATATTACGAATTTTTTTGGAACTTTAGTTTCGAAGATATAAATCTAATCGAACCTTTTTAAAAAAATTAATTTTATTTTTCAGACACTATTAGGGACAGAGTTTACCAAAAATGCTTTTTATAACTACTAGTGGGTAAATGAATTTCTAGATATATTACGAATTTTCTTGGAACTTTAGTTTCGGAGATATACATTTAATCGGATATTTTCAAAAAAAATAATTTTATTTTTCAGAAATAATTAGAGACAGAGTTTACCAAAAATGCTTTTTATAACTACTATTGGTAAATGAATTTCTAGATATATTTCGAATTTTTTTGGAACTTTAGTTTCGGAGATATAAATTTAATCGAACCTTTTTAAAAAAATTAATTTTATTTTTCAGACACTATTAGGGACAGATTTTACCAAAAATGCTTTTTATAACTACTAGTGGGTAAATGAATTTCTAGATATATTACGAATTTTCTTGGAACTTTAGTTTCGGAGATATACATTTAATCGGATATTTTCAAAAAAAATAATTTTATTTTTCAGAAACAATTAGAGACAGAGTTTACCAAAAATGCTTTTTATAACTACTAGTGGGTAAATGAATTTCTAGATATATTTCGAATTTTCTTGGAACTTTAGTTTCGGAGATATAAATTTAATCGGACCATTTAAAGCCGTTCGCTTTTAGTTCTATAGGGGGAGGTCGCAAAGTAATAGTGATTATAAATTTCTTGACGGTTATCTTTAGTTATTAATTAGACTATTATATATACCAGGTGGTACACCGGTGCTGGAAACATAGGAAATCCTATGAAAATGTTTAACTGTCTAAATATTTCCTCCCTGGTTGATTTTACAGCAAAGTCTTAAACAGGTTTATTAAACGTCGGCGTATGCTGAATAACCATGTCAAATTTGAACAGTTTTTGAAAAGCGGTTTTTAATTAATAGAAAAACTGCAGTTACCTTTAAATTAAAACTTGAACAGATAACAATACAAAACCAGGCAAATGTCAATGTACCGTAAGTTGTCAAGCTATGATTGAATTCTACTTTTTGTACTATCTACGCTGCTATATTACAGTACAGAGAATAAGTGTGCCCGATATGCATTTTTGTAATTTAAAACTTGTTCAAATTAGATAAAAGCTTAGTGTTTGGGAAATATAATTTGACAATGATAAAATTATAAGTTGACAACTTAAGGTATGTTGGCATTTACCTGGTTTTGCATTATTACCTGTCTGGTTTTAATTTATAAATAGATGAAAAATAGCCCAACATTTTTCAAATTTAGCATGTGTTTTCAGTAAACCCAGACCTTTAAAAAACCTACTTATATCTTCGCTGTAAACACAATAGGAGAGGCAATATTTGGACAGTTCAAAATTTGCATTATGTATATGTTACTGTAAATGTGCGAAATGCGGTAAAACCTAGGATTTACCGAAAGCAAGTGGTAGTAAAAACAAACCAACCCCACCAAATAACCACCTAACCAATGCATTAACACCCCCTAAATAACCAGGATAACCAATGCATTAACACCCTCCAAATAACCAGGCTAACCAATGCATAACACCCTCCAAATAACCAGGCTAACCTAATTAGTTACTGCTTTTGGTAAATCCTAGGTTTAGCGCGCTTATCCTAGGTTTTACCGCATTTCGGACATATACAGTAACATATACAAATGAATAATAATATTTTAATCAAGACGAACAAACAAAATAAATAAAATAACAAATATACATTTTCACAAGCCCAGTGGGCTAAAGTATGATTGTTTGCTTTTTGATAAAAATTCGATGTTTGCAAAATTTACAAATAAAAATTTCTTTTTACAATATTACTTATTTTGTACAATGTTTAATAAAAATATATGTGTGTATTAAATTTCTACATTTTCCTATTGCAAATAATTGATTTTATAATAAAATCAACTTGTATAAGGAAGAATTATGTCAAAAACAACATTTTATATACAACTTTTATTATTCGTTAGTATGGAGTCAACAATCAGTAATAACATCAAAATATATACATATACAAAAATAAACTGTGTATCTCAATAAATAATATACCTAACATAAATATCACTTTCCAACTATGTAAATGAAAAGTAAAATTTCCATAATTCCGACATCAATTTTTACAATATTTTATAGAGATGTGAAATGCGTTCTTGTTGATCTTCATCATTTATATTTCAATACCTATTTGTGTCATGCGGTATATTTTTGTGGTATAGCATCTTTTTACAATGTATACTTAAGTAAAGATATTTTGAACTATGGATTATGTAAATTTCACTTTTCAAGTACATATTTAAAGACCTGGAGCGTCTTCGTTACGGATATCGCTGGTCGAAATAGAGATCATTTTTCAGCTGAAAATAAGAATAAAACAGTATTAGCAAGTTTATAAAGTTTTAGGAGTATACCGGGTGTTGCATCGTCGGACGGGACATAGGAAATCCCATGTAAATTTTAATGGGGTCAATTATTGGCTTCCCTAATTATTGTAGAGAATAATTCTATTTATGTTTATTGAAGAGCACTAAAACCCATATTCAAAAGAATAACTTTAGATATTTTTGATTAGTTCGTTTACGAGTTATCGCCTATTTCTTTTTAAATATTTCTCCTTTCTTATTGCCCTGTATTTACTTATGAGCACCAGTCAAGGTAAAAGACAACTGTCAAATGAAGTTGTCATTTCAGAAATTTACCTATTTAGTGCTTTATTATTATTGAAAACTCTTTCCTATGTCGGAAATCTTAAAGATTTATAAATACATATTAATATGAATTAAAGTAAAATAAAGTAATCAATTACAAGGTTAATTATAGTATTATTACAATATTCAATAACTTATTAATTTAGGTACTATTAAATTGTTAGAACTTTAGGATTTAAGAAGATGTTCAAATATTCCTCCATCGACTGCTAGACAATAATCCAGGTGATCATAAAATTCTCTTCTTACATTCGCTAGTTGGTAAACTGAAATTCTATTGCATTCGGCAGAAATAGCATTTTTTAACTCGTCTAGATTTGGGTATTTTTTATCTTTGTATATCCTGTTTTTTAAATGGCCCCAGATAAAGAAATCATTTGGCGAAATATCAGGAGACCTTGCTGGCCAATTTACTGTATGATTTAGGCCAAACGTTTCCGTTAAGACTATTGTCTATATATTCCCGAAGAGCCAGGGTACTATGTGCCGGGCAGCCATCCATTTGGTACCAAACTTCCTGATTTTCCCTAGCGGCATCATGTAAAGCAGGTAAAATATGATTTTCGAGTAGTTCCAAATAATATTCTGCATTTAATTTTCGCGTAAGAAATAATGGCCCGATAATATTGTGTCCGAATATCCCTGCCCAAACATTTACTTTCTGTGGATATTGCGTTCTTGTTTCGACAAACCTGTGTTGGTTTCCTTTGTTCCAATTTCGATAATTTTGAAAATTGGGTTCATTATTTAAGGTAATCGTGCATTCGTCAGTGAAACATATGTTTTTTTAAAAATTCCCTATCCGTGTTTGCTCTTTCCATCATATCAAAACAAAACGCCTGCCGCCGTATTTCCTCCCCATCTCGTAGCTCCTGGTGCTTTCCATATTTGAAGGAATAGTATTTATGTCGTTTCAAAATTCGAAACGCTGTAGTGTGATCTATTCCTATTTCATCCTCAAGTTTCCTTGTGCTGATCTTTCCATCGTTCTCTTCCACGCACAATAAAACTTCTATCATTTCTTGCATCTTCTCTTTGTTCCTGCCTTGCTTCATATCTGCAGTTATATTTATTAGGGTACCTTTGGTCTCAAATCTCTGGATATTCCTTGCGATTGTAGATTTTCCAGGTATCGGTCTATTCATATACAGAGCAGCAAACATGTCCGACAACTTTTGATAACTATTTCCTTGATAATACCATTTAATCATCAATACTTTTTCTTCGGTAGTGTAATTCATGGCTAATATTTTCGATGTAGGTAAGGGAAATTAAAACAACTTTGGTTGCACGTCATCAATGACACCATGCGTCGTCTTATGGAATTTGCTGGTGGTCGTATTATGACGTGCAACCAAAGTTATTTTAATTTCCCTATATGAGTTTTTAATAATAATAATAAAGCACTATATAGATAAATTTCTGAAATGACTACTTCATTTGACAGTTATCTTTTACCTTGACTGGTGCTCATAAGTAAATACAGGGCAGAAAGGAGAAATATTTAAAAAGAAATCGGCGATAACTCGTAAACGAGCTAATCAAAAATATCTAAAGTTATTCTTTTGAATGTGAGTTTTAGTGCTCTTCAATAAACCTAAATAGAATTATTCTCTAAAATAATTAGGGAAGCCAATAATTGATCCCATTAAAATTTACATGGGATTTCCTATGTCCCGCTCGACGATGCAACACCCGGTATAGAGGGTACACGGTATAAGGTACACATGCAGGGTATTTAAGGGGATAATTCATGAACCTATTTTTAGAAAAAAAAAACTTTATGTGAATGTATGTCCTCTACTAACACCAAAATTATTATAAAAATAACCAAAAAATGTAATACCATTTTACCAGATTTATGTTTTGTCTCGGTTAGCGGGGCAATTAGTTCCCAATCAGCAATCAGAAAATACTAAAATAATTATGCGATTCTAATTAAAAGTCAACTGGAAATCTGGGACAATTATTTTTAAAGCATGCCCTTCGATATCCTAATAGACCTAATACAAAGAAGGTCAAATATTTAGGTCAATTGGCATAGCCAAAAAGGATAATCTTTCCATCGGCATCGGATAATTTTTAATGAATCAAAAAATAGGTTAAATATATAAAAAACCAACCGGTTCAATTTAATTTAAAATGTTGTTACATCTCTAATTCCATAAAAATACTAAATAAAGCTATGTTAGACTAAAACTAAATGCCAGAAACAATAATTTATATATATTTTGATACTAATTATTGTATTATAATAAAACGATATATTAAAATTAATTCACCCATATTATGGGACTGAAATAGAGACAATTCATGCTTGGTAACATATTGCTTTAGTTTCCTGTAGCAATAATACGCTTCGGGATCAGACGTTGTGTTGCGTTAAGTCAATAAGCAGGGAAGTGATATATGCTAATGACCTAATTGAAATTAATTGCCCTCAGCAATTGCATATTTATTTGTTTGTAAATTTATACAAGATTTTTTAAATTAAATTGTCAACGAAAACACTAAATATATGCAACATGCACTTTTTATACACTGCTCAAAAACCATCTGACAAAAAATTCCACACTGCGGCACAATTATTGATCATCCTTATGTAAAATGACCTCCTGTATACAAATATAAACTCCGTTTTCCTCCACAACTCTTTCTTTTTGGGGGAAACATCCCTACCTATTTCTACTGCCTTTCGATAGTTTGGTTAGATGAATTTGGCTTTGGAAATGGATTTGACTTCTAAATTGTTATTTCTGTGACATTAGAGATTATAACTGTTCTGAAAACATATGAACTTTCGTAGGAAGAGCGGTAGGCTTTTTTAAAGGATGTAGTTCCGCTCAAATTGTAATAAAATCAGTAAACGTTATCGATTTATCTGTTTTGTTTATCGCATTTTTTACTTATTTTTGACATATATTTCAGCTTCCATCCCTAGTAGGTAATCAAGTTATAAATGTATAACAACATATACAGCAACATGCGTTGTTATCTAAAAGTATAATGGTTGCGCCTCAAATGTGGCTCACCTCTATAACTTTTTGATTTTTTCAGATAAAGAAACAAGAATTGGTATGTTAGTATATGACATAAATTAAGATTGATTGAGGTACCCAATTGTTTTGTGTCACTTCCTGTTTCACTGGAAATGACTACAACTTTTAATTTTTAAACGGGACCCTCGGTATTTTTTACTTTATTTATTAGAACGTGACACTCTGAATAAAATGACACATTATACGTCAACTTTTGACATTTTTGAATATGGTTTATTTGAAATCGTAACATGCGATTCATAACGACAATTTGACTCGAAATACCAAGTGTGTGGTACTAAATAATTCGTAAAAAATGATTTTTCCAAATATGCTAATGAGCCATGTCGTTACATTTGAAAAAATTGAGATATGATTAAAAATACGATTTGGACATGTTTTAACCGGCCAGGACAGGACATTAAAAACTAAACGAAACGAATTAGTGCTTTTAACACAGACATAACACTCTAAATTAAAATTTAAAATATAATGTTTTTAAAGCGAATAATGTCAAAAATTGACATATGATGTGTCGTTCTATTTTAAGTAGCGATGGGAACTATCGAATGAATTAGATTATCGAATGGTTACTGAATGAATGATTTCAACTATCGAATGGTTTTATTCGAATAAAATCATTCATTCATTTGTATACTGAAGCATATGTGACAACCTCGCCGTGCGACTAAATGGTTATCGTTGAGCCACGACTATCGAATGCTTTTGATAAATGAAATTTAGTATTCGTTTGATTTTTGTGTGTGTGAGTGCATTATTAGTTCTTCCAAATTTTTATAACTTCGCCTTATAAATACTGTGCTATTTTTGCGTTTATTAAAATATTTAAAATACTAAAATAGTAGTTTTTTTTAATTGACGATTGTGTGCGTGTGCAGGTGGTCAAAATTTTTCCGAAAATTTGTGTGATTTTCCGTAGCCCGATCTTTCAATTATTTTATTTTATATGGTATATGGTCTATTTTTTAATGGGAAATTTTGAGAAGTAGCAATTTTTAAGAGAGATGAGATGAACTTAGAATTAATTTTAAAAATACATATTTGTATTTTAGATGTTTTAATAATATGAATTGGTTGAACTTAATAATCATATTTAAGTAATGTAGTTAAGTAAATGGTTATCGAACTCAAACTATGGGATGAGAAAATTAAATTAAAAGTTTTACACTTGCCAATTTTTTTAAAAAAATAACGATGTTTGTATTTTGTTTATGCTAATTCTCTTACATGTAGTTTTTTGCGAAGAAATATTTCATTTATTTTTTAAAGTAAATGCCAGTAAATATTATTTTTAAATAGTAATATAAAGTACCTAATATAAATAATTTTGATTTCTATTTTTTTATTTATATTTTCCTTCCATTACACTGCATGCTTAGAAAATTAATAAATGCTTATATTTCATGATTTTAAAGTTTGTTGTTAATATAACAAATTAGTTCTGTAATTATTATTATTTATAAACCAACGTTGCCACACACAAAACATTTAAAGACCATATTATTTTTAAATAGGATTTAATATAAATAATTTTGACATCTAATTTGTTGTTTATATTTTGCTACTACGTAAAGAAAATGTTTATATTAAATTATTTTAAATTTTGTTGTTAATAGGTATAACAAATTATTTTACTGTTATTATTATTTTTTATTAAACCAGTCTTAGCTTAAAAACATTAAAAATCATTTTCCTACATCGAAAATAACAAGTATTATTGCAGTGTAACAACAGAATATTAATAAAAAAAATGCAAAATATATAGACATACTATCTCTAACTAACTAAAGCCAAACAATAATATTCTTTGCTAATATCAACTAATACCAATATATGGCAACAGCGCCCTTCGTAATGTATTTTCTGTGTAAATACTAGCACCTCAATAAAAAAAAATAATGTGTCCTTATCTTTATATGACTCCGCAAAAAAATCAAAGATGCCGGCTTCTTTCATAAGCATTGCCACCGACCGCTGTCGGGTTTCTCGGAAAGAAACCTACGTCGCCGGGCGACAACTAAAATCCAGTTAATATTTTATTATAATCGATCCTGACGAATAAATGAATTTCATAAATGAATGAATTTTATAAATGAATGGTTTTTGCTGCCGAATTACTAAAATACAATATTTCAAGGCAGATGACGCATCTATTCGATAATTTTTATTCGAATAGTTTTCAACGAATGTTTTTTTACTAGCTATCGAATTATTCGAATGAATTGCAACTATCGAATGTTTCGATAGTATTCATTCGATAGTTCCCACTACTAATTTTAAGTATCATTTTTTATCGAATAAAGTATAAAAATACAGAGGGTGCCATTTAAAAATTAAAAAGTTGTAGTCATTTCCAGTGAAACACGAAGTGACAGAAAAGAATTGGAGAAAAAATACTAACATTCCAAATGGCGTTTTTTTATCTGAAAAAAATAAAAAAGTTATAGAGGTAAGCCAATTTTGAGACGCATCCGGTATATATAAATTATAATAAATTTTGCGAGAAAAATTATTACCAAAAGCAATATACCATATAATTTGGATATATCATCATACGTATTATGAGCTTTTCTTGATGTGATGAACACTGATACATTTATCTTATATAACATGTCTCTTGAGATGAATTTCCTTCGCAGACACCTGGACTTGAAGCACACTGAAAGTTTAAGAGCAATCTCGGATGAACACGAGGAAAGGTTCCATCAAGACATCGCTAAGCTGGAGAAGAGATTTTCAGGTAAATAGAATGCAAGCATGTTGGCGGAGTACTGGTAAAGAAAACAGAAGCTATATTTGGAATCAAAACGTCATTTTACATAAGAACAGGAACTGTGCCAGGGTTCGCAAATTTTTTTGATATTGCTGTCTATTGTCATTTTTCTTTTATAAAAAATGTACTGAACTCAGTCAAACCTACCCTGATTTCCCTGAAGGCGGCCTCTGACGGGAAATCGTTCAAATAGTAGTTGTAGGACCTATTCGATGGCCAGTACTGTGGGAACCTCTCCCTCGCCGTCAGTGGCCAGTCTACGTAGAAGCTGAGGGGCCGATATATCCTGTAGTGGTAGTAGAACTTGGCGTCGGGCCAGAACGACCACTCATAGCCCTGACTGATCGGGTTTCTTAAGTAGGTAAGCATTTTTTCTAAAACAAATTAGTGGTTAATAATTGTAATAGTGCTATTTCGAAGAGTACTCTTTAAGTACCTGAAACCTAGGGAGGTAATAGTTCTATTGTTTAGATTAAAATGGAGATTTTTCTTAATTTATTTGTATTTATAAATAACTCAAAAATAAGTTTCAATTGCTCAAATTCTATTACTTTTTATAGTAATATCATTAAGTTAGATTAGATACTTCAAGGTAGCTATCGACTTGATCCACTGCGACTTTTTCTGATCTATTGTGGTCTTCTTCTGGTCCCTAGCTTACATTGTTCAGTCAAACTCACCGACCAGTACTAGACTTGACCATAACCAAGAATAAGCACTTGCAGTCTTTCTTCACGTTTAAGAAATTACTTATTTGCAAAGAAATATTGTTTTAATTTATTACTGAAGTGTTTTTTCGCCTAATGCATAAAATGTTAAAGAAAGAAATGCTGATTCAATATAATATATTGAAAAATAAATATTTTCGTCAGGAAATTTACTAATAATGTCTTTCTTTAAAGTTTTATTTGCACTGAATTTTTAAATACTATTTATTTATTTTATGTGTAGAAAGTGCCTCTAGTAAAAATCTATTAAATAATGCAAGACTTGCGAAAGTATTGTCCCTGCAAGACACTGTCATCACTGGTTCAAGTTCAGTTCAAAATCAAATTTTATGATAAAACTACTTCCATTATTAATGATTGTTATACTTCACATATCATAATAATTACCAATAAATAAATGATCACTTTATGCTTATACAAAGAAGCCAAAGCAAGAGTAATGATATATAAAACAACCCCAGAGTTCCCAACTGGCAAAGGAGTACGACAGGGAGATCGGATATCCCAAAGCTGTTTACAGAAACATTAGAAGAAATCTTGCGTCAACTGAACCAACAAAGGATTAAAAATAGATGAAAAAGGGTCTTGTGCAGAACAGGTCCCCACGAAATCGTGTTTTTTTTAATTTTTAATGTGGATCCCATAGTTAATGGAATGGTTTAAAAGAAAAAAATTTTTGGATGAACCACTTTTTCTACGAAAAAAAATAATTGAAAATTCCAAATTTTCACTACATTTCAATGCGAAAACTCCCTATTATAACCTTCATAAAGACGTAAAATACAAGGTTATGCACAGTGTTGCCATACTCACCCTGTGTAAAATCGACGAAAACGTTCTACTTTATATTCGTTTTTTTTACATTTAGTACGCACTTTAAGAACACGAAAAATTAAAAATATAATAAACGAGGCAAAACAAAAACACTATAAAAATAAATTGACAATAAAATCATTACACAGTATTTAGCACAATTGTTTAAAAATATATTTTTCCCGGATTTGTTCAGTAAGATTCCGAAATGGATGTGATCTGCGTACTTCCAAACACTCCCCACCAACCTAACCTAACCAATGCATTAACACCCCCAAATAACCAGGCTAACCAATGCATTAACACCCTCCAAATAACCAGACTAACCAATGCATTACCACCCTCCAAATAACCAGAATATCTAACCTAACCTAACCTAACCAATGCATTAACACCCCCAAATAACCAGGCTAACCAATGCATTAACACCCTCCAAATCACCAGGCTAACCAATGCATTAACACCCTCCAAATAATCAGGCTAACCAATGCATTACCAACCTCCAAATAACCAGCCTATCTAACCTAACCTAACCAATGCATTAACATCCCCAAATAACCAGGCTAACCAATGCATTAACACCCTCCAAATAACCATGCTAACCAATGCATTACCACCCTCCAAATAATCAGGCTAACCAATGCATTAACACCCCCAATAACCAGGCTAACCAATGCATTAACACCCTCCAAATAACCAGGCTAACCAATGCATTACCACCCTCCAAATAACCAGGCTAACCATTGCATTAACACCCTCCAAATAACCAGGCTAACCAATGCATTACCACCTTCCAAATAACCAGGCTAACCTAATTGAGCCTAATGACAAAACTTCATTGATTACGCGTCGAAAAACAGTATATATTAAAAAAACTTATATTTTCGTAGAACCTGAAAAATCCGCAAATTTTAATTGCTTTAAAATAATCCACACTAACGAATAAGCTACTAGACAGTTCAATTTTTGTTGCACTAAAGTGATAACTTATCGTTTTAAGTCCCTCCACAACAACTTTATTTCAGAAGAAAATCATATAAAGTAATTTTATTGACAACGTCGCAAATTCTATGCGAAGGCCATAGATGACATACCGATGATCGATTAACTGTCAATCGAAAAACTCATAAAATTGCTAGCTTGAGCTGATGTAAATAAATATATTTTCTTAATTTTTATGCTTACAAAGAAGATTCTTTACATTTTTGTGCTTAAATTAGATCATTCCACGTCTATATAAGGTAATAAAGTACTAATATGTGATGTTTTTACTGAATCCGTGTAGAAAATTTAACATATTTACTGTCCGTCGCCTGTACCTAAAATACGTTTTTTTGCCGCTTTTTAAAGATAAAACACATTCATCCAACAATTTTTATGCTTAAAAATATTCAGTTTAAGATAATCTTGCAAAAAAATCCCAAAAAAGTGTTAAATGCGTGGGGACCTATTGTGCACCAGAGCCGATGAAAAATATCTTAACTATCTCTGATTCGGTGATGACAGTCCTAATTGTCAATAGTCAGGAAGAACTACAACCACAAATTAAAGAACTAAATACAGCCAGCAATAAAGTTCGTCTTAAAATGAACTAGGAAATAATGAACTAGCGGAAATGAAAGACATTCTAGTAAATAACACAACACTGGAAATAGTAGAAGAATATATATATTTGGGACAACTAATACACTCGGGATAACACAACTCGGGATTTCTACTACCAGAAATCAACAGAAGAATTAAGTTATCATGGAGTACTTACGGAAGAAACTCAATCATATTTAACTCTAGAATGCCACTCTATCTAAAGAAGAAAACAATCGACCAATGTGTACTACCAGTCATGACCTATGCATGCGAAACCTGAACACTTAAAACGGAATCATAAGGAAACTGCAGGTCGCACAACGCTCAATGGAACGAAATATGCTGGGAATAACTAAGAGAGACCGTAAAAGAATAGAGTGGATACGACAAAAGACCCAAGTAATATATGTCATCCACAGAGTCAAATCCCTCAAATGGCAATAGGCAGAACACCTGGCAAGAAGAACGGACGACAGATGGACCACAAAAATTACAGAATGGTACCCACGAGGAATTAAGAGATCTAGAAGAAAACTGAACCTGAGATGGGACCATGATATTAGGAAATTAGCAGGAATAACTTGGGCCCACATAGCCACCAATAGACAACAATGAGCCCAACTACAAATAGAGTATGTGAGGGAGGCTATACCATAATTGGAAATGGTCGAATAAGCTGAAAATGTTGATGATGATGATGAAATGATCATATGACATATATTTAGAAGTATGAATTGAATAAACTGAACAAACTGAACTCTAAGAAATAATAAACAATGCAGGAAAACATTATATCGTTGACTTTAACGTCTCATAATAATAAAGTTATAAAAATATACCGGGTGTTGCATCGTCGGACGGGACATAGGAAATCCCATGTAAATTTTAATGGGGTCAATTATTGGCCTTCCTAATTATTTTAGAGAATATTTCTATTTAGGTATATTGAAGGGCACTAAAACCCACATTGAAAAGAATAACTTTAGATTTTTTTGATTAACTCGTTTACGAGTTATCGCCGATTTCTTTTTAAATATTTCTCCTTTCTTATGGCCCTTTATTTACTTATGAGCACCAGTCAAGGTTAAAGATAACTATCAAATGAAGTTGTCATTTCAGAAATTTACCTATTTCGTGCTTTATTATTGAAAACTCATTCCTACATCGGATATCTTAAAGATGTATTTATAAATACCAATTAATCTGAATTAAAGTAAAATAAAATAATCAATTACAAGGTTAATTATAGTATTATTACAATATTCAATAACTTATTAATTTAGGTACTATTAAATTGTTAGAACTTTAGGATTTCAGATATTCAAATATTCCTCCATCGACTGCTAGACAATAACCCAGGCGATCATAAAATTCTCTTCTTATGTTCGCTAGTTGGTAAACTGAAATTCTATTGCATTCGGCAGAAATAGCATTTTTTAATTCTTCGAGATTTGGGTATTTTTTATCCCTGTATATCCTGTTTTTTAAATGGCCCCAGAGAAAGAAATCATTTGGCGAAATATCAGGAGACCTTGCTGTCCAATTTACTGTATGATTTAGGCCAATAACGTTTCCGTTAAAACTATTGTCTAAATATTCCCGAACAGCCAGGGGGCTATGTGCCGGGCAGCCATCCATTTGGTACCAAACTTCCTGATTTTCCCTAGCCGCATCATGTAAAGCAGGTAAAATATGATTTTCGAGTAGTTCCAAATAATACTCTGCTTTAAATTTCGCGTAAGAAATAATGGCCCGATAATATTGTGTCTGAATATCCCTGCCCAAACATTTACTTTCTGTGGATATTGCGTCCTTGTTTCGACAAACCTATGTTGGTTTTCTTTGTTGCAATATCGATAATTTTGAATATTGGGTTCATTATTTAAGGTAAACGTGCATTCGTCAGTGAAACATATGTTTTTTAAAAATTCCCTATCCGTGTTTGCTCTTTCCATCATATCAAAACAAAACGCCTGCCGCCGTATTTCGTCCCCATCTCGTAGCTCTTGGTGCTTTTCATATTTGAAGGAATAGTATTTATATCGTTTCAAAATTCGAAACGCTGTAGTGTGATCTATTCCTGTTTCATCCTCAAGTTTCCTTGTGCTGATCTTTCCACCGTTCTCTTCCACGCACAATAAAAGCTCCAAGTCGGTATCATTTCTTGCATCTTCTCTTTGTTCCTGCCTTGCTTCATATCTGCAGTTATTTATTAGAGTACCTTTGGTCTCAAATCTCTGGATATT